TTGAAGTCAGCACCTGTTAGCATCGAAACCACAGTGTCCAGCAGCTAAGTTTCAGTCTTCTAGCTAATGTCTCCTTTCTGTGCATTGACATATCTTGGGTTGCACACTGATTGGCTAATTTTGCAAACAAATGTCCACCAACAGAGAAGTACATCGCTAACAGTACTAGCGCACAGGTGACCTGCTAATTTTCTAGGTACCCAACTAGCTTCAGAGATTAGGTCTCACTGCATCTCCAAATGTGTAGACGAGTTCTGTGCGTTCAGATTTGAGGAAGATAGGACTTTAAAAGTAGTGTTTGACGGAAATTGTGGTGACAAGTTTTGAAGTATTGCTTCAGATCACAGAAAGCTGCTGCTGGTGAATCACAGTGAAAGCTGGGAGCAGTGTGTATGAACACTTTCTTAACATTTATGTCATGATTTCACATTTCTTGACAGATTTTTGTGAGTCTGGAGCTGAATCTTTGAGCAAAAAAACGTCTTTCAGATCTAAAACTTTGCTCCGCCTGAGCCGAAGCTGCAACTTCTTGGAGAAAAAAACAAAACAAAACATAAAAATCTAGAAAGTTAGTAGATTGCACTGATTTACTTTTATCTAAAAATAACTGACATCTGACTATAGATATTCATCTTTCATCATACTTGAAATGAGATCATGGATTCTATAATAGAAACATTTCTCCTGCACCGTCCTATTAAAACCCTGAACCATGAAGGTAGACAACAAAAAACTAAATGAATACACAGAATTCAGCATTCGTCTTCACCTCGATAAATGTGATCGACATTATTAAGTCTCCCAGTCTCTAAAATCTCCACCAGGCAATAATTTGACGACACGTGATGCATAAAATGTACAAAAATAGATATGATATACTGCTGTAATGACACATTCATAGAGGAATCATCATGTATTCCAGCCACATCTAAACGAACAACTCGTCCACCGTTTGCATCCGACATTTCTCCGAACTGAGATCTGTTCATGCTGTGCTGGCTCGTTTTCTTTTTTTAATGTGTTCGAAGAAAAGTCAGATTTGTGGTGGATGGAGGTGTTTAGATGGATTTAGTTTCAGCATATTTCCCCCCTCAGGGGTGAACAGATAGGAAATCATGCAGTTAGTTCATATAATGCATGTCTTTTACGAGCTATGATTCTACGATACTAAGTCACGAGAGATTAAAGCTAAGACGTAATGCAGCGTAGATATGCACAGAGGTTAATGCATTCAATCTAAACATTTTACTTTCATTCTTTCTGCAATTTTTTTAAATTTTAAAAATCAAGATATCGACTCTTGACAAGACTCCGTTTGCACCTCGTATTAAACTGCAATCTGTGTCGGGATTTATTATCTTTAAATCATTTGTGCAGTTTTATTTTGATATGTTTGGTAACCAGACCGAGCTGGTGGACTGTCAGCAAACATGAGAAAGCAATGTGTGGGACACCGTGCAAAACAAAGGTCATGTATCAAACAACTTCATCGACTTTTTAGCTAATGAACGGAAGCCGTTTATCATCATCTTTTGAGATCCAGATCGACTTTTCCAAACTGTATCGAGGCAAACTTCCACATGGGTCAGTCGCGCACATTTCGGAGTCTGTTTTAACCAATTAACTTGCTTGATTTGCACGTTCAGGCAACGTGTTGTTGAGCTTTTAGAAGTTTTAGCGTCAGTTCTTCTCCGGACCATCATTACCCCACAACCTCCACAGGTATACACAGTAGCCTACAAAGTGCAGAACTGGACCAGCAAACTCCATCTTTAAGGAAAACTAGTCCAATTCCATCTGCAGAAGACGTGACTTGATCAAAAGCTCCAGTAAAGCCACTAAATTAATGTACTTTTTTCATGAACACTCAGGTGAAGAAGGTCATTAGAGTCAGTGAAGAAGCGACCTACACCTACTGATCACATGACCATTGACTTTACTTTACTTACTTCACCTTAAACCGTACAGATGTTACACCTGATCATGAAGCGCCAATGATTTCTGCTTTAACATGCAACAGAAGATGCAAATTGAAGCTGGTTGGCCATCAACCTGCTGCTAAATAACACAAATTAACACACAAATCTCAGATTTCTCACCATTTCTCAACCTTTTTTTAGGCATTTTGGACACATTTCATTCATCCTGGACCATCTGCAAGTCCTTTTGTCAATGTTTTAGTCATTTTGGGCAAATTTCTGTTATTTTGGGCAAAACTTGAGTCATTCTTCAGGCTAATGTTGGCGATGTCAAACACAGACTTTTCAAGTTCACTTTCAAACTTTAAGCAACACAACCAGCGCCCCACAACTTTTAACAAAAACCATCTGAAATATCCACAATTAGGTAGAAAACATCCCCAAAAACATCTCTTACATTCACTTCTCCAACTTTTCTATTCCTGACCTGCTGACCAAAGTTGCATCAGAACCAAAACAGGATCCAAACAAACCGAACCGACCTAAACAAACCTGATAGTGACCTTAGCCTGGAATAAAACAGCTGCTCAGACCAGACAGCGGTAGCAGGTATCTTCCTCCAACTGGAGGGATTTTCTCTCCACACTGAGCTCAGATCAGAGGAAAACACTGATAACCATCTGCTATTACAGATCACAGCTGCAGCTGCACCAGATATGAAGCATCTCGTTCCAAACACGCCTCCTGAACTCCTTTTGGAAACAAAACGTGGCCTTGCGGTAACTGTTGAAAATGCACAGATGATTAAATCCTCCAAAAGCTTTGAGAGGCTGAAGACGGATATTAATATTAATGCGTTGAGCGGAGAGGTTAACTTTGAAGCTCTCTTCTTTTGGAGACGTCCATATGGCTCCTCGCAGGAAACCGGCTCCAACAACATTCAGCCTTTTTAGATTAAGACGTTCTCAGATCAGGAAACAGGAGGGAGGCGACTTCTGTCTTTGGCAATGAAGCGTGTTTTGGTTTTGTAGAAGCTGCCAACAAAGCTGTGAGGAGGTAAAGCTGCTGGCTGAGACAGAATAAAGTCATTGTGCTGCATGAATAAACCTTTTTCCAGGTGATACAGACAAATGAAGCTAATATTCTGGGTTTTACACGTATGGCAGCAATGTTCACATACTGAACTGCCTTTTTGGGCACCAGGAAGAAGAAAAGAACTTCCAGTACGACTTCATCATGACACAACAGAAAACCTGCATGTTCCACGCTCTCCGTAACTCAGACTGATCTGTTGTAGCATCCACTGATGCTGGTTGTCTCTGTCACATCAATAAAAGCAAACTGGTCACTCTGTATTTTTTTGTGAAGTTACTCCACCGTCTTAGATTTTGTTCAGTTTACTTATTCATTATTTAATCAATAAACATGAGATTAATTGCCAAATTAGTTTCTCTACTCAGTGTTTATTTCAAGTATATGCACAGGAACCTTTTCTCATCCTCGTATGTTGATCAATTTCAACATGAAGAGAACATGGAAGCAGCTTTTCACTTTGCACAACCTGAACACCAGTTTTTGTTTCCCACCCATGAGTCAGCATTTTGTCAAAATATCTAGAAACTGGACTCTTGTCTTGTCAAACTTGCCTCACATTAAATCCTACTGATGTTAGATCCTCAAATGTTGGTGAAATGTTGACCAAAGACTATTTTTTAGTAGGAAATATAAATACATCCATATATATACACTTAGAGGAACTTTCTGAGGACACAATACTGCTCTTATTTGAAGATGTTGCCCTTTTTTTTCCATTTTCAAGAGATGATAATTAAGAATTTATCCTCTGCTGAAGCCATTTTATCATGTAAATCTCCTGGAAACTGTTCTGTCTGTGTCCTCACCACGTTTCATTGCCGTGGGAGTTTTATTTCTGGAGATATTGAACCATTAAAATGGCTTCCTTGTTAGATTATTTTCTGAGGGTGAAAACACAAGAAATCTGAAAACATATGAAAATCTCAAAATTTAGCCAAAAATATTTTACAGAACTTAGTTTAGCGTCCCAAATGACAAGTAAATAAACTCTGAACAAAATATAAGACGGTGGAGGAACGTTTTTCCTGATAAATGTAAGTTCTTAAACCGTTCATGTACATGATCCTGCAAAAACGAAACAGCATTTAATTAATTCATTTTTTTTATCTAAAAAAAAACTATGCAGGTGTTGTGTTTGTTTGAAATTCACAGCTCAAGGCTCCAGGTAACGAGATGAGACCACACAAGTTGGTAAAATGAAGCCTAAGTGCAGGTTTGAGGGAATAAGTGCATTAAAGTCCCCATTAATCAAACTTCACCTTGGACACACTGAAGAGATCAAATGTTGCAGAAAGCTGCACTTTACAGTAATCAGTCAGTGTTTTATGCTAATTCTGTTTTAAAGACTTATCTCATCCAAACTCTGCTGTTTTCACCACAAACCAGTTTGGAGACAACCAGCGGGATGCTTGACAAAGTCGACGACCAGCTGGTGTGTTGATTGAAAACCAGTTTTACCAGCAGCTTTGCTTTGAACTTTAAGGAAGACTTGACATTTGTTCGATACTCCATTTTGGTTTGTTCCTCATTCAGGTTGTTCTGACTAATTACAGCTGTGTTTCCAGTTCACTGTGAAGCGGACTTTGCTCATCTACAAGATAAAGACGACGTGAAGTCTTCAGGAAATATCTATAATCTGGAAAGTTGTAATTATTCTTTTACATCAGCTGGTAACAAACATGTTTGAAGTTGTCGAAAAAGTCAAAAACCGTCTCAAGACGGTGTGAAAACTTCAGACTTTAAAAAATCTTTTGACGTTTTTACTCCGTTTTTCTAAAGTGATGCTTCAAAATACGTCCTGGAAACACAGCCAGTAATTAAAAGCTCATCACCTCCGCAGGTATCTGTTTAATAAAACTGAACCGCTGGGAGCTCATCATCACCAAATGCATCATCTGTTCCCTCCTTTCCTGAAGTTTACGTCCAAAAAAAACACCAACAGACTTGATAGTAGGTATCTGTCCACTACAGGATCTTATTTTCAACCTTTCTGTTTCAGATCTGAGAGCTTAGATCGTGACTTTAAATTAAAAAAAAACGGACGCAGATCCAGCTTTATGTCGGCAACAGAACAATGGTTCAGCATGTTAGTATATATGGAGAAGATGACGACTGGATGAGGACATCAAGAAGCAGAAAAATGGTCCCGTACTCTCCAGGTTTAGTTTTCTCAGGGTTTTTAATTAGAACCTAGAGTTAAAACGCGTCCTAATAGAGGTTCTGCAGGGTCAGTTCTTGCAATCAGAACTCTTCCAAACATTCAGGTTGCCCTAAAAGATCCTACAAGCTGGAAAACATCTATTTAAAACAAGATGAAAACAAGAAATCTGCACCACTCCGCTCACATCTCTTTGGCAATTTCCAACCCTGAAAGTCTGAATATTGGATGTTTTCTAGAAACCTGCAGCAAACCAACCATCACCAAGCACGAGCCTCTCAGGTGTCGCTTTAGCTTCATCTCCGAACACTCAGCTGGCAGTTGAAGTCATTTCTAAAGCTTATTTGACAGCGTAGCTTTAACTGTGAGCCTAGAACTAAACTGCCTTCTACCACAGCTGCACTTATTTCTGGTATTTTTGTCTTTTTACAGCTGACAGCTAAGATATTTTCTACTAACCTGTGACTTCACCGACGCAAACAAGAGAACGGATACTTGTTAAGAAGCCATTTTCTACGAGAGCGTTATTGTTTATGTACAAGGTGCGAAGCAACGGCGGATTCGACATCAATGCACTAAAATCTCAAGCGGTTTATGTTGTTCGTTTTTTTTTTTTTTTGTTCTTGGTGACTCAAAAGGTTGAGTTTCAGGGATGTGAGTTGGGAAAGAAAACGCAGCAAATCGGATCACGTCTGATAAATGAGTATATAGAGAAGAACAGAAAAATGGAGGTTGCACAGGTTTGGAAAGTTTAATGAACGATGTTTTTTTGGGATTTGTGAGGAATGTTTCCCCTTTTTGAGGCTCAAAGTTCCTCCAGTTTTGCTGCGTTTGCCGTCTCTGGCAGCATCCCCGCCTCATGTGCGCTGGTTGAATAGATTAAACTGGAATACAGGTTGTGATTGTGTCGTTCTTTCTCAGCATTTTTTTTTTTTTTTTCTAATTTTTGCGGTTTCCTGTGCGATGTTGATGTGTGTTTGTGTGGTGTTTTCAGTAGACACACAGGTCTGGGAACTTCATCTCGTAGACGGGGACGGACTGATGCTGGGTGTGTCCGGCCGAGATGGAAACCACTCCGGATGGACTGGGTGGAGGCCTGGCGGGGGTGGAAGAAGTTAGAGATATTAGATGAGGATTCACGTTTACCCAGTTTGATAGCTGGTTTGGAGAAAGTTTGACCCTTCCTCATGGATATTCTTCACTTTACATGGGGCTTGTCTGGTTTAATTCATCAAAGCCTCGTCACATTTCCAATAAAGGTAATGCTAACAGTCTTTAGTCCCTCCAAGCAACAGCTTCTGGCTGTTTTTTTGCTCCTGTCACAGTTTTCTCTGCAGCTATTTGCTCATATTTCACAGCAAAATCAAGTCCTGCACCTCTGTTCTAACAGAACAACAATTTTCTACTAACTAAAAATGGACTCAACATGTCCGACATTTGTCATTTTGCTGATTTTTGTTAAGACAACAAATCTTTTACAGCTGCTGGAGGGTTTTTGGGTTCAGAGGGATAAATGGCTGTTTAGCTATTAAGTTTAACAGACATTTTTATTTTATTTATTTCTGCTTGTTCCTTCATCTTGAACCACGTACAGTATTCTGGAATACAACTGTCTAGTCTAAGCATTTATAAGTGAGCTGGAAATGATTGACTGTGTTTCTCAGGATTAATAAAGTTTGTGAATCTAAATATAAACATGATTAACTGATTAACATTTAAAAACATCACAGAGCAGATCACGAAAGGACTTTTAATGACAATTCAGAAGTCATTAGTTTAGTTATTGTGCACACAAAGTAAATGAATACATTAAAATCATGATCGGAAGAACACAAACTTAATCTTCAGCTAAATATATTTAATTTTTACAAAAAATTAACCGACTTACCTGATTGTGAGTTCGAAGATTTGAGCCAGTCGGTCGTGCAGCATGTTTGCCTGCAGAAACACAGCGTTTGAAGTGAGAAGAGCTGTTGGTTGGAGATTCTCAGGGTTTAATCAGTTATTTACTGTTTTTAAGTTTTACCTTGGACTCGCAGTGAGCAGCGATCTCCTCAAACGGAGCTTTCTGGAACTTCTCCATCACCTGACGCCTCTTTTCTCGCTCCTGCTCCTCCAAACCAGTCGTATCTGAAACCGGACAGGAAACAGAACTTTTATTTTAAACTTAGGTTATGACAGACATTTTTTGTCTATCTTTCTGCAGAAGGTGCAGTGACTTCACTCATACAACACTTATCTGAAGTGCATGTGAGATCAGTTTATGTTAAAGTGGGTCTTTGAGTTTTTCTGTAGGAAGAGCTGCTTTTCCTTCGACATTATTTTTGAAATCTGCTCACTGTGACATTTCTGCAGAAATGCTGGAGTCAAAACACCTCTTTCCTAAGCTAAAAGATGTACCAAACTTGGTATAGGCAAATTTAGAAACCAGTGTGGAAATAAATAAATAAAATAAATAAAAACCATCAGAAGAGCATTTTTATTTTCCTACTACAGTGCACATCTTTATAGTTTATGCTTGTATTTTTCTACTTACGTTTATCTTCAACTGCTTAAATTCTAAAGAAGCTTTTTGATTCTGATTTTGATAAGATAAGACAGAACCTTATTGATCACAGAGGAACTTCTTGAGGAATTAAAAATGTTGGCTCTAATGTCAAACTGTTTTTTGTTTTAAATTGCTACATTAAACGTGTGCCGAATTAGTCGCTAGCAGTTTTCCTGTAAAAGTACAAATAAATATCACTGGATTAATGTAGCACTGACAGAAAATTAAAGTTCTGCTGAATCTCAGGCAACTTTTGCTTTTTTTCTATGCTCCTCGGAAAGTAGAGCGTTTGACATTTTTGATTCTGTTTTTACAGTTTCTGGCTAGTAAATGGGGTAACTTTGGTTTTAAATGTGTCAAATTAGCAGCACCAGTTTGAGGTGCACCTGTATATATAATATTAGTTACACAAAAACATCACTGGATTACTGTGACAGAAACTTCAAAACGTGGTGATTCTCAGGTAACCTCTGCAGCTGCTTTTTCTTTTTCTTTTTTCCAGCAACTCACTGACGTTTGAGTTTATATTCAGTGTGAGAAGAAGCTAAAATGTGAGTCTAGTATCATAAATGTTACTTTATATGAGGAACACAGTGCAAATAAATGGATAAGACAGTTTGTCAGCTCTGATGACAGGTTGTAAATCTTTGTAATTCTCGGGACATTAGCGTCAACGTTTTGGCTTCCAGTCAGGGCAGCGCTGACCCCAAGGACGACTTTACTCCTCCTGACGAGAAGCCAAACCGTAAATTTAATTTGTGAGACGCTCCAGTGAGTCCACACAGAGGTTGGATGTAAAATGTTTCTTACCGATGGCCTTCTTCAGGGTCTCGAATGTGATCTCCTCGGCCAGCTGGGACTAAAGACACAAACACAGAAATATGAGCCTGCAGGGAATCCACAGCAAACCTTCCAACTTCTGTCACCTCAGAAATAGTTCAGAGCTTACTTTTTTTTTTTTTTTTTTAAATTTTGAATCTTAAATCTAAGTTCTGTCAAATATTTTCATGTTTTCAGACCTGGGAATTTTGCTACTTTCCCCCTAAAATAAACCTTGAAGCCATTTTAAAGGTTCAATATCTCCAGAATGAAATGTGGTGAGGACACAGACGGGATCATTTCCAGTAGATCAGAAGGACTGAGTTGATCCAGCAGAGGACACATTTTTAAGTACTGGCCTTTGAGAATGGAAACAAAGTGCTAAACTTTTAAGCCAGGCTGGTATGAAGGCCTCATAAAGTTCCTGTAAGTGTATATATATATGGATGGACCCATTTCTCTCATAAAAATAGAGGAGTCCAAAACAAAGTCAGAAAACAGTCCTAAACAAGTCCAAATCCATGTCCAAAACACTTCCACAACCAAGTCCAAAACAAGCCTACAAGTTCCCAACAAAGTCTAAAGCCAGTCCAGAACCAGTCCAGACAATCGAAGATCAAGTTCAAAACAAAGCCTGTAACCAAACTTGAAACCTGTCCAAAGCGAGTCCAAAACCAAGTTCAAAAGAAATCCAAAACCAAACACAAAACTAAGTCTGAAACTATATTTCAAACCAAAATCATCATAAAAAACAGTCTAATCTAGTCCTAAACAATCCCTAATCCAGGTTCAAATGCACTTGGAAAACCAAGCCCAAAACCAGTCGACAACCAAGCCTGAAACCAAATTCAAAACAGTCTAAACTTGTCCAAATCCAAGTCCTAAGCCAGTGCTGCATGGATGGATCCAAATTTCTACTAAAATGCAGCCTTTGGTCGACATTTCACCAACTTTTGAGGCTCTAACAAATTTGATGTGTGGAAAGTTTGACAAGACAAGCTTCCAGTTTCTAGACATTTAGACTAAATGTTGATGTGGACTCATTGGTAGGAAACAGAAACTGGTGTTGATAGTTTTTTGCTGTACGAAACCATCCAGATACTTTCTGCACCTCAGCTGCATCGTTCAATTCATCCATTTTACAGAAACAAACAAAAAAATAAAACAAATAAGCAAAATCTAACAAAGTAAAGTAAAGAAAATCTGAGCCACACAGCAAAAACATTCCTTGAAATCTGTCAGAATTCACACAAACTGATGTCATGTTAGGTTCTTATTGAGGTGATGCATGTTACATTGTTCATGCTGTTACCAGAACAAGCAGAAAGCGTTTCAATCTGTTGTCCTGTAAAGTGAACCGACCTTGTCAGGCAGGCTGTTGGACATGATGTCCACCTGCAGGGAGATGGTGTCCACGAAGCTCTTCCTCCTGGTCAGACGATCTTCATCTGCAGGACGACAGAGAAAAAAACTCAACCAGAGACCCTCACCAGAGTTAAAGCCCCATTTATACTGAGTGTACATTCATATATTTGTGACTAATAATGACACATCACAGGACAACAGGAGACTGAAGGAGCAGTTTCTACGTGGTAAAATGTTTTTATAGTCAGCTATTGAAAGTGGAGGTGAGATGAACTCAGTATGTAGAATGAGATTGTCAAGAATATTGTATAATAGATCACTGGATTGTTATTACTGATCCATTAACGTGTTCATCACTTTGAAAGCTGGCAAAAGTGATTGAACTACTTTATATCTGCAGGGCGGTTTGTGGCGTTTACCTGGAGGATCAATAAAGCTGGATTTTATTCTATGATATGACAATGACACCATCATTTATTTGTAGATTATGTATTAAACAAAATCTGTAACTAAAGTCATCATATAAATGCAGTGAAAAGTAGAATATCTGCCGCCGACTTTAACAAATTAGGAGTGTAAAGAAGCAGAAAATGGAAATACTCAAGTACCTCAAAGAGTTTCATGGTGCTTTTGTGTTTTTATGTCACAACACACTGATTTAATAAAGTGTTTCTGGAGCGTATCGTGTGAATACAAACACATTATAGACTTTACTTTCACTGCAGTATGTTCTTGATGTGTTTCATTTAAAAAGCTTATTCTCCTTAAAATAGTGAAGTTATGAGAGACCTTCTTTTAAAATGTCCATCTAGAAGCTACAATACTGTTGTAGTAACTTGTGTTCTGCCTCCTAATATTGTTGCTGTATTTGTGATTCTGGTTGTGTTCGAGGACATTCGGTGAGATCTGACACCAAACTGCTGTGATTTCAAACAACGAGGAGCAAAAATCCAGACGAGAGCAGCGTCCAGATCACGTGTGGAGGGTCAGGAAGGATCGGACGAGGTGCGAAAGCAGACGGAGAATCAGCTCTTTGTAATTGTGGTTTGCGTGACCTTTGCTGTGACTCAGCGTCGGGCCTGAAGGCACTAATGAGGAAACTGATGTGAGAGGACGGAGGTGAGGAAGCCGCTCGCTTACAACTCTGACTTTAGTTTCACACTCTGCTCAGAACTTCACCCGAATTATCTGTAGAAGGAAGAATCTCAGACCGAAACTCTGCAGGTTTTTGACACACAGCAAATAAAAATCAGAGCCGGCTAAATGCGTGAAGGTTTACTGAGATCTGCGCGGTTTAAAATAACATCAGTAAGTCTCGGTATAAAGCCAGTTTTATCTTTTTAAACTGAGGTTTCTAAGACGCACACTTGATTTTAGAAACATTACATTGTGCAAAATGCAGCAGCTGCACTTTATCTACCAGAAGAACAGATCACATTTTGTTTTACAGCTCTTTTAAATCCCTCACACTGACTGTCAGTAGGTTTTAAAATGGATTTGAAAATCCTATTTATCAATTTTAAAGTATTTTTTGGCACCAGGTTACATTTCTAAAGAACCCGGTTGTGCAAGTGCAGAATCTCTGGCAAAATGCACTTTAATTCCAAAGCTCTGTTATAATCATGCAATATTTTAATTTGACAAACTCGTGCAAACCTCTGAACGTATTTTGTATTTGAAGCTTGTTCTTACTATTGATTTATTTGTGGTATTTTGTCTGCCCTCTGTGAAACACTTTGTAATATCTGATTGTTCTAAGATGAGATAATTACAGTGCAACAGCAGCAGCTAACATCAAATAAAAGTAAAAAGACACATAATTACTGTTGATATTGTAAAGATTCTTCCACATGTGAAGGTTCAGATTCTGCAAAAAATATCAATATTGCACAAACTAGCAAATTAAAAAGCAATGATTTTTAATGTATTAATATGTGCAATATTGTTCCATGAGCAGTAAATACGGTCGTGACTTAATAATCCGACCCTTAACAATCCGAAAACTTTGCTAACCGACAGGTTTTTAGGAAAAACGAACGGAACCCATTAAAAATAGCCTTAACATACCGACGGCCTCGGATTCCGACTCCAACATGACATTTTATGTCACAAATAAGGATAACAGCGTATTATCTGACTGAACAATCCAACAGATTGGCTACGTTCACACTGCAGGATTAAATGCTACATTCAGATTTTTTTGTGAAAGCCGTTTTTCTTGCGAGTTCCTTCACATTTCCACTTAAATCGGACTTGTATGTGATTTGCTGTGTGAACTTCATGCAACCTAAAAGTGTCTCACATGCGCAGAAGAGGACACAACGACGTCACAAGCGGCGAGCGTGCTCAGTGTTTGTGGAAGTAAACATGGATGGTGGCGAGGGAGTGGCGCTGCTGCTGCTGCTGCCACCGATGGTGGAAACAGAACTGCGACCGCTAACTAAACTGGCATCAGCAGCTAAGTACTGCCTGTGTGTTCCGGCCACTTCCACCCTGTTGGAGTGCTCTCCCAGAGTGGAAGTGGTCCCCCCAGACAGCTCCGAATATTTGGACATTCATCTGAATATCCAGAGATCAGAAAGTGCTATTCAAACCAACCCTACTTGTTATTATAACAACTATGAACAATAAATATTAACAACAAATGACCCTTCAAGCATCAAGCCCTCCTTGTATCTCGACCTCCGTCTTGACAATCCGACAGCCTTGCTATCCAACATAAAAGAAGGTTTTACGTTTAGTGTCAGATTATCAAGTCACGACTGTACTGTTAAATGCTATGTCTGTAAATGTTCCTAATATACGTATTTTTGTTGTCAATGGTGTCGTGAACTGACTGAGAATCGACTCCAACTTGATGCAACTTTGAACTTCTTTAAATTCTTCATTCTCTTTCATTTTCAAACAGTGGTTTAAAACAAAACAATGTCCATCTAGATGAGCTTTGTAGCTCAGTTTCGCTTATATTCTCCAAACCAACACACCTCTAAGTCTCTCATAATGTACACTGGGGATGTAGGAGCAGGTGAAGCACTGGGTTTGGGTGCTTACTTTAAGAAAATACTACAAAAAAAGAAGAGGAACACTGAAAATTAAGACCAGAGATTTCTTTTTGTGGAATTGTGACTGAACACAATAGAAGAAGTCGCTCATGGTGACAGAAAACAGGTTGAGAGTCACATGTTAGGGTCATGTTAAATCAGGAAAACATATATGAAATAACTGATAAAACCCCTTCAAAGAACAAACACGAGTGTCTCAGGTTCTGCCTGTTCACACCTGAGCGCCACCCTGGAGCTGTCAAACCGAACTGGAGTCTGTAGCGCTTGCATAAGTTTGTTTTTCTATGTTGTTTAAAACACTTAAAACCAGGACACGCTGCATAAACGGAGCAGAAATGATGCGTTTTAAAACAAAACTCGCTGTAGTGGTAATTTTAGCCTAAATTTGTTGCCTAAATATTCTAAATCCTTCATATAAACCTGCAGCTGCTGTTTGCAGCAGGTAAGTTGTTTTATTTTGAAATAAAGTTTCCTGTCTGAAGCTCCACATGAATAAAAACAAACTTTTCACAGTACCAGCACAAAGTACAACAGCTAAAACTACAATAGTCAGTTTGTGCACAGATCGTCTACATTTAGCATCATGTACTCACCGGAACACATCCAAATGCAACGCAGGAAGAACAGTTAGAGAAATGATCAAATCACTCAGTTACAGTCACTGCAGCTACACAACATCTGTCCTTGAAAGGCTAAACGGCTACGAGGGTTCATCTACACATCTCTGCTGATGTAAGGGTTCAGGGAGGTTTGATCGTCAGAGTTTAAACGTTTGGATCTTTCAGCCCAGAGGAAAGCAGGAAAATATGGACGTCATTTGTTTAATTGCGAGTTGTATTTTTGCACAGTGTAAACATCGTGCAACACATACAGGATTCTTCGACTGTTTCTCAGACAGCAGCAGCACGAGCAGCGACAAAGTGAGCTACTGAGCTCATTAACACATAAACGAGCTACAGTTTGTAGTCGAACCTCTTGCAGCAGATTCAGACGTTAGCTGCTAATGTTAGCAGACTCAGTTCTTTAGGATGCAAAAAACCATGAAAACTTTTAGCAGCTTCGTCCTCGATGTTCCTGCAGAGCTGCTCCTGGCTGTTAGATTACTGCGGTCTTTACTCATATTAAGCTGTAGTTAAAAAGGTTTTAATAAAGAGAATATTTTGGAATCATGTCTAAAGTTTTATCCTTTATAGACGCAGACTTTAGAGACAAGATGGT